GGGTTGCTAACTTGTCATAGGGTAGTTAGCCGAAAGGTAAATTGACTATTGGGATCCTCTATGGCACCTGGCGCACCATAGAGTGATGGACCTTTCTTTAACGAATTTGGGATGAACAGGAATCCTATGAACATTATGAGCTCATCGCAGAAGAATCATCGAAGTTGAAAGTCTCAATGCGATCAGCGGAACACTTGATGAACCGTCTATTAGAAAAGAGACAGAAAAGTAAACAAATGCAGACCAGGAATCGCAAGATCAACAGGGAGAAGTAGCTGACAAAATCTCGAGAGTCTAAAACTTAGACCTGAGAAACTGAGCGGCAGTCAGAGGCGCATGTTGAAGAGGAGCCGAGCAATCATGGAGGGGCTGAAGAACCTACCAAAGGAAGAAGACAAGAGAACTGATGGCTTGAAAAGTCAAAGGGAACTGTAGCTCAAAAACCTGAGGACATGGGGCAAGAACCTCCATGTAAGAAAACTCATTGGATACTGACCTATAGGGATGTGATAACCGATGATAAAAAAGTGTCTCTGGTCCTCGCAGGCTACCCCACTAACAAGTTGACCACAAAGAAGGGGCTACTCATTGAATCTTGTGTTGGAGACTTGATACTGTCGGGTACTGATAGAACCGACGTACCAAGGTTTGTTGACACCAGACTCATTGATGGAGCACTTGTGATCAGTACAGCCCAAGAGAGCTCTCTTATGGCTCATTGATCATGTCAACCTGATAAAACCTTGGGACGGTACAGAAATCCAAATGGAACTCGATTAGATACAAACGGATGGCCACTCATATACCAGGGCTGAATACGGCGATGTAGAAAGTTCACCATGAGCAGGGGTTGGCCCGAAAGGACAAACTTTGTTCCTAAGTGTGAACGAGAAGAGCATAGTCAAACTGGAGCAACTTAAGCGCAGTCCATATTTTGGAATGGTCAGAGTTTGCTTCACGGACTATGTTGCCAAGCAGCCACAAGCTCAGAAGGATGTGAAGAAAATTAGCTCCACAAAAATCTGGGGAGAGGAAGGCTGAAGAATCACCAATGCCATTTGGGACAGGAGGCAAGACACAGGTAAGAAATAAACGGACTCACTTCACCCCTGCATCGAAAGACAAGGGAGGAAATTAAGAAGTGGAGATATAATAAAGTACTTAAAGAGAAACATTTCTTTTTATATAAAAACAGCTATTTTATTTAAGTTGGAAATTTATATCCGGCTTTTATCTTCAATGCAAATCTGAGAAGGAATTAATTTTACTATGTTGTGTTTTTTTTAATTATTATTTTTTTTTGTGTTTGTGAACGCTCAATCTCGCTGGACCGATTTTGATGAACAATACGTCAAAAGATCACAAATCGTATATAATCGAAGAAATTACCCTCAAAATTTGAAAAAAAATTCCTCGTTCCCCGTAAATCCTCCAAAAAATTACAAATTTTAAATTTGCTAATTTTCAACATNCGGGGTAAATCCTCCAAAAAATTACAAATTTTAAATTTGCTAATTTTCAACATTTTCCAATTTTTTTGACTTAAAACTACCATAACTTTTTAAAAAGACCGAATGAATATAATTTTTTATTTAATAAATACCTTAGGTATTTATCTATCTTTTGATATATTTTTGTAAACATTTGACTGCTTATCAGCCCACAGGAAAGGGTTTCAAAATGACAACTTTTACACAAAAAATTAACTTTTTCAACTTAACTTTTGAAAATCTTAAAAAAAAAACTGAAACTTTTATATATATCATAAATTAAAGCTCATATAATATACTTAATTATGGAAAAAGAAAATTTTGGACTTTATTTTGTCTTTATGGTGAAAACAGACATCAAAGTTAATTAAAAATATACGATTTTTGTAAAAAAATTCTTTTTTATATTCATAACTCTATAATGCTTTAAAGTTTTTAATAAATGTATGGATCATTATGTTTTTTTTTGAGATGAGTACTATTTATATTTATATATTATTAATATATAGATATTTATTTATTCATATATTATACTTATAAATCATAAAACTTGTAATCAGGATATAAATAAGGAAATAGAAGACCACGTAGCTTTTGGAATAATCCATTAGTTATTTTAAATTAAACACTATCTACAGATTTGCATCGAAGCGTTTTTTATGATAGTGATTTTAATCAATGTCAGATATCATCTATAAATTTCCTAACTATGCCACTTGCATACTGTGATTACATTGTGCTATCGTTTTTTTAGCTTCGATGCGAAGTTGAAAGGGTATTTTTTACTTTGATGTGTGTTTTTTTTTTTTACATGTGTCTGTTACCACTCAATCTCAGCTCTCCTGGACCGATTTGAACAATACGTCAAAAGATCACAAATTATATTTAGTCGAATAAATTACCCTCAAAAATTGAAAAAAATTTCTTCATTCCTTGTAAATGGTATTAATACCCAAAAAATTACAATTTTTTTTTACTATAAACTTCTATAACTTTTTGAAAAATATTTGAATCGAAACAAAATTCTTTTATAAAAATACTTTCGGTAATTTCATTTCGTTTAATATAACTTTTTTTAAATCTGACCCTTTACTGGCCCACAGGGGGGATTAAAAATAGCAACTTTTGCACAAAAGTTTAACTTTTTCAACGTAAGTTTTTAAAATGTTCCAAAAGTACTACGTTTTTCAGACATATGTTAAATTAAAGCTTATGTTACCTACTATAAGTTAAAAAAACAACCCAGCACAGTGGAGTCGTGGCACAGTGGGAATGTGGCATAGTTGGGTCAAGTATAATGATATCTGAAAATTGATTATTCCTGGAAAAATATGGATTATTCCAAAAGCTACATGGTCTTCTATTTCCTTATTTATATCCTGATTACATGTTTTATGATTTATAAGTATAATATATGAATAAATAAATATCTATATATATTTATAATATATACATATATAAAGGCATATATTGAAGACAAAATAAAGTCCGAAATTTTTTTTTCCATAATTAATTATTATGAAGACATTACCCTCAAAAATTTTAAAAATTAGTGATTTTAAAATTTGTAATTTTTTGGAGATTTCCCCCATTTACGAGAAAGGAGAGAAATTTTTTCAATTTTTGAGGGTAATGTCTTCTACTAGATACAATTGCGATCTTTTGACGTATCGTTGATAGAAATCGGTTCAATGAGAGCTGAGAAAAAGTGGTAACAGACACAAAAAAAAAATTAATAAAAAAAAAAAGACACATCATAGTAAAACCAATACTTTCTCAGCTTCGCGTCGTTTTGAAATTGAAAAAAATTCGAAAATTAGCGATTTTTAAATTTGTAATTTTTTTGGAGATTACATCTCTTAATTAATAAATTATTTGTCAACTGAAAAACGTAAATAAAGGTGTATAATCAATGTAATATTATAATATCCTACTTATTTATTTAAATCATATTACCTATAATTAACAATCAACACACAAATATTCTCACATTAATGGTAATCATAGTGTAATATAAATAGATCATTTTATATTACAATTTTTCTAATAATTATTTTATTTATAATTTAAATTTATAGACTCAAATAATGATAAAATCATATCGTGGTCAACTTTTTCAAGCATGAAATTTAAATGTTTAATAAAAGTATATGTGATTTTATAGTTTCGATAAACGTTATCAATAATTAAATTTTCATCTTCCACTTCAGCAAGTTGAGGTTTGTTTTTTAACACAACTTCTGTTAGATGTTTATATGATTCTAATAGGTAACCGGACTCGACAGGATCTGTATTCATTGTGTCAGTTGCGTTGCAATCACTTCCAAAAATTGAACATGAATCAGCTAACTTAGTCCTAATAGATTCTATGTGGGCATCTTTTTGCTTATAAAATTCATAAGCATCGGAGGAAAAATAAACATGTAAACCATAAAAATATTTATCTGATTTCATACCAGTAATTCTGGCAAATGTGATCAAAAGATGTTGCATTTTATGATTTACTTCTTGAATATTATCTTGCATACCTTCTTCAGTTACAAACTCATTGTTTTTATGTTCTATTTTGGCACAGACAACTAAAATATGTGTCCAAATTAGTCTTAGCATTATTATTTTCATTTGAGTTTTAAAATATATATGAAAATTTTTTATACTGTCGAATCTGTTAAATATTTTTTCAATACTTAATGCTTCATTTAGTGTAAGTCTGAGTATATTTAATGCTTCTCCCCATTTAATATTCAGAACATAATTACTTTGTAAAAAATTAAAGTTGTCTTGAGTATATAAATTAATATTTTGACGTAAATATAAGTTATTGATATGAATTATATCACTATTATTTGAAACAATACGAGAAGAGGAATACAAATTGATTTGTGCTTTTATTTGCGATAAAAAATTTTCTTCCAATAATCCAATCGATTTCACGTCAGGTGTTTGATTAGAATATAATTTCATATAAACTAAGTGAAATGGACATCGAGAATTATTAATGTCATGTATACTGTCTATTTTGCAGTGCTTCGTTGACTTTACGAGATTTCGAATAATTATATTCCTAGCATCTATTAATTGTAATAATGCATATTTATTTTTATCATAAGGACCTTCACACAGAAGTATTGTGAATTGCCAAAGATCAAACAGTTCCTCAACACCAATATTGTATAAAATTTTTAGCATATCATATGCAGGTGTACAATATAATAAATCGTGAACAATTACATTACTAAAAATGTCATTCCACTTAATTTTACGTGAGCTAATGTATTTTTTTCGCAACTGAGTTACTAACATAACTGATAATGCCATAAGTTTAATACCGCATTCAAAATCATTGATAACAGATTTGATTGCATGATTTAATTTATCATTTTGAGTCATTAGTGTGTACGATAATTTTGGAAGGGCCATTTTTTTAAGATAATTCGGTTTTACGAATCCTAAATCAATTTTCATTAAATCATCATACCTTTTTTGTAGATTTTCTTGTAGAAAATATTCTCTGATAATGCAACCAATATAAGGAAGTTCAACGCTTAAAGTCAAAACTAAGAACAAAGTGAAGTTGAAAACATTCATTCCTCTTGTTTCAATTATCATCCAATCTTCATGAAAAGTATTTGTAAATTAATTAATAAAACAATTCATAAGTTTTCAAAGTTATTAATATTTTTTTTAATTTTCAGTAATGATTAATATTGTTTCTTTGGTTAAATTTTACTTCAAGTAGAATTTGTTTTACTGACGTTAATATAAAATGAATAAAATACGTTTTATACTTGTGTATGTCTATATATATATATATGTATATATATAAATATACACATGTTATAAATGTATATAAAAGTTATTTTTAAAACCTAAAAATTTGCCTAATAGTTCAGTTAACATTTTTAAATATTATCGAAAAAATATATATTTGTTCAATAAATTTTGAATAATATTTTAGATGTTTTTGGAATAATTTTTAATAGATTTCTTTCTTATTCAATGATTTTTCAAAAAAAAATATTTTTTATAAATAACTTGCAAAAGTCTCCAAATTTCCTGTACCTGAGTTAGACTGAGTAGCTTAAATGTCTTTAAAATTTGTTTTGTAGACTATTTAAATCAAAGTTTATACGATTTGAATAAGTTTTGGTAATATTATAGTTTTATAATTATTTAAGCTTGTATTTAGTTTTAATTTTTCTAATAAAAAAAAAATCTAATTGATAATTATCAATTGTCCATAGTTGGAAAAATTAATGTGAAGTAGGAATTTTTATGAAAATATACATTGGAAGGAGTAAAAAATGTTAACAGTTAAAATTATTATTTTTTACCTGCGGCCACACTGACAATTAACAACCGGTTGCATAATGTACACACATAACAGTGGCGGTAATATAAACATGTTGATAATAAATACCGGGACTATGATAATAGTTTTACCTTTAAAATAGTATAGAGAAGGGGATAAATGAACATACACAGACCTTTCTCGAGAGCTATCACAATTCAGTTGGGTGTTCCTCGTAGGAACTGGTGTGCGTTGATAACTAAGTATTTTTACGTATTATACATTATGACAGGTGTAACGCGTCGAACAATAAAATTAAAATTTGGGCTAAGTAAATTTGCCGCCATACTCAACTTTGAGGGGTTTTGAATGAATTTAAGGCATTCTTTTTTAACTCATTGATAAATTAGTTTCTGTTATTAAAAATTAATTTATCCTAGTAGTATTATCATGTCGTTCGAGGAAAAAAACAGAAACATCAACAATAATGTTGTTGAAAACAATCGTATTTGGAGCCCAAAAGTTCATACAAAAATATACATTCCTCCAATTAAAGTCATGGATAAGAAAGAAATAAAAACCACCAAAGGTATGAAAAAATATATTTTAATCAGTTAATATGAGAAAAAACTAGAATTTTTTTTTTTCATCAATTATTTCTTTTTGATTGAGGTAAACTCCTAACATAAATTTAACATGAGAAATAAATACAAACGTGTATAAGTTAACCAAAGGAACGTGAATCCAAGAAATGAAATTTTCAGAAGATTTTCTGATACTATAATATTAAAATAATTAACATTAAAAACATATAACATTAATAAGACTCAATTATTCATTTGGTTCAAAATTTTCAAAAATGAAAAGGGTTCATTTTTTTCACCTAGGACATAAAACTTTGAAATATGTCTCTAGATATAATTGTTCAAATTATGGGTAATTGCCTGCTTTAATGCCTTACACTCTTAGTTTCTATTGGCTACTTATAAATTTTCTTTTTATTGGTCGCGAACATATTTGAACATAAACAATTATATAAATATTTAAAATACATTTAAAGCTTTACTAAATTACTCAGTTTTAAACTATAAAGTTGTCAATTTTTTTAAAAATATAATTAATACAGCCTGCAGCATTTTATGTAAAGAAAGATAATTTTTTTTTTGTATGATACAATATTTGTATTATATCAAACTTAAACTCATATCTATGTATACAAATTTTTATTATTATACTCTAAATCTTAATTTCAGAATCATATATGTGTTATATTATTATGAATTTGAAATATAAAGGAGCTATTTATTTAACCCACAATGTTTCCTCACCTTGTATATTTATAAATTTCCTCTAACTACTTATCTTGGAAAAATATATTTTCAGATACATAATTTTGCTTTATTTATTTTCTATGGTACAAAGAAATTAATTACACTCAAGTTAAAACAATTCACTTCAAAATAGTTATTATTATAACTATAATATATTATAAGTTATAGATGTCTCGTAACTTTATAAATACAATTTGTTCGTATTGCTTCAGAGTCGACTTGTATTTGTTTTTCTATTAAAAACAAAATATATTTATTAGTTGACAGGAACAATAAAAATCTATGTTAAAAAATTGGCGATCATAACTTTACCTGAATCAAACTTTCCACAGTAGCTATCTATGATAATAAAGTATATACATAGTAATATTAATGTTATCTACCATCAAATTTGAAAAAGAACAAATTTTCCAGAAAATATACAGTGATAAAAGATTTCGTAATTTGTTATCTGTTATTCCTATAATAAATGTTGTTAATTTTATAGATGTTGCTATCGAAGTGACTTTAGAAGATTTAGCTGGTAATCCTAATAAGCCGAGTAGCAGTAATGATACGAGCGATACCAACTTACTATTTCAAAATGGATTTAATAAATTATGTCCAGTAGAATTTAAAGAGGTTTCGTCAGATTCCAAATCATTTAAAAGGCCTTCAGTCATAACAACAATACCTGATTCTGTTAGCCTTTATTCTTCCAGTTCTCCTATCAATCTGTCGCCGCTTAGTCCACATACTACAGTGTCCGTTCGCTCGTTAGCATCCATTGGAATGGGCTCTACGGACGGACGGAAATTGACTATAACTAAAGTACCCACATCGCCTGCCGAGCTGCTCAACTTGGCTAATCCTCAAAGGTAACGTTTAATATTATAGCGTTTTTTACTATCTAAGAACAATTTATATGGTAGCCAAAATAGTTAATAAGTTGTTGCACGTTTGCATAATATTACACGCAATATCTATACATGTTCTTCATGATTTATTAATTTTCAAGATAACCTGTTAAGTAGTTACTCAGTAATAAACATAATAAATCTTAACGTTTAAAGCAAATAAATCTATATCAATACTTTCAAATCTGCATATTATTATATTTTATAAGCAAACAAAACTTACTTAATCACTGAAATTTAATGCAAAGAATGTATTTTATTCTATTACTGAATAGCAATGTTATTTCGATTAAAAGTTTTAACTAATAAAAATGCTAGGGTAACGGCACTAGTCATTAGTACACTAACTAGTTTTTGGCAATCGATTTACTTCTTATAGATAATTTATTAAAATTAAATTAAAGTAGGATTAAGACTAAAACTTAATAAGGTAAAATATCCTACTTTTCATCATCTTAAAAAAGACTAAGACATATTACAAATAAACATGTTCAATGACTGGTGTCGTTACCTTAGTTATTACATTAAAAATTCTTATTATCACATATATGTAATAATATGTCTGAGTATTATATCTATATACATAATTGATTGATGTGTAGAATATTTGATTAAAAATGCTTTCAAAAACATATGTACATAAAGTAGTTTATTCGTTATAAGTTATTATGTAATCTTATAAAGAATTATAAATTCACTTTTTTCTCAAAATAATACAAAAGAAATTAAATAATCTTTCACTACTCAGAATGGAAAAATAATATATTTACTTAAATAGTTTTTCAAATATTTTAGGTTCGATGCGTATTGGTTTTACTATGATGTGTTTTTTTGTTTCTGTTGCCACTTTTTCTCAGCACTCACCGAACGGATTTCTTTCAACGATACGTCAAAAGATCACAAATCGTATCTAGTCAAAGACATTACCCTCAAAAATTGAAAAAATTTCCCTCGTTCCCCGTAAATGGGGGAAATCTCCAAAAATAGAAATTGGAAAATCCCTAATTTTTATAATTTTTTCAATTTTTTTTACTTAAAACTGCCATAACTTTTTCAAAAATGAACAAATCAATATATTTTTTTTTATAGATGCTTGATGTCTTTATCTATCATTTGGTATATTTTTTTTATAAATCTAACACTTTAACACAGGGGGGATTTAAAATGACAACTTTTTCAAAAAAAATTTACTTTTTCAACTTAAATTTTAAAAGTGTTCCGGAATGTCTGACACTTTTATATATATCTTAAATTAAATCTAATGTAATGTACTTTATTATGGAAAAAAAAAATGTCGGCCTTTATTTTGTCTTCACGATGAAAATACTTACCGAATTTCTTGACTACATATTAATCTTAACAATTTCATTTTTTTCTATTTAATAATGTCAATTTCAAACTTGCAAATTGAACTAAAAGTTATGGTAATAAATTCATTTTTTTTTTATTATAAACTTCAACTTTAAAGGACGAAATAAAGTAGGTTAAAAATTATTACTTTTAACATATTGAAAATCAATAACAATTTGAAAACAATTCAATATAATAATTATGTAATATATAATTTTATATTATATTTTTGAATCTAAGAATTACTAATCTGGATATAAATAAGGAAATAGCTGATCATGTAGCTTTAGGAATAATCCACCAATTTTTTAAAATTAAACACTATCTAAAGATTTGCATCGAAGCGTTATTTTTGATAGTGATTTTAATCACTGTCAGATATCATTATACTTAATCTAACTATGCCACGTTACCACTGTGCCGCGACCCACCTGTGCTGGATTTTTTTATAATTAATGTTGCATGTTATTAAATAACAAACCTTTGAACTATCAAAATATTGACATTGATTGAATAAAAAAATAAATAAATACGGCAAAGTAAAACCAACACATTAATCTATTGGTAGCTAAGAATTCTCAATTACGCATTGATTCTAAAATACCGAATGGTTGAATAATTAAAAATTTGTAACTTAATAAATTTAAAAAAATACGCAATGTACTTATTGTTTTACCTAAACACAAAGGGAATCGTCTATAATTAAAAAATTTCACGTGGAATTTTCTGAAGTTATCCAAAATTTCTATAAACAGTAAAAAATTTTTTCTAAACCTTTTTATTTTTATATTTGTCTCCTATTTTTTTTTTTTTTTTTTTTTTTAAAA